GCAGAAAGACAAAGAGAGACAGAGAGACAGAGACGGAGAGATCCACTTCTTTAATGAGCTCTGAACAAGACATCATCTTCTTTGTCAGTAGTAACAGAAACAATTTAGAAGCCTATTGAACAGATTACATGAATAACACAATGAACAAAAATAGATCCAGGACCAGCCTAGGTAAAATTTGTTAAAGGCACCTTCTCATTTCTGCTTTCATGCCCCTTTCTCTACCTCAAACAGCCTTGGTTGCCCAATTCAGTTCAACCCAACAAACATTTCTTAAGAACTAAGTGCTGGAAATACAGAGACAATAATTCCCTGACCCCAAGAAGCTTATATCCAAAGTCCTAACCAGGGCCACTCTCCCCAATTATGGACAATTGCTTTCTATTCTCCCTTGTCAAACTCTTAACCAATTCTATGACCTTTTCCAACAGACCTTGGAAGCTATCAGTTGGAAAAGATCTGATAAGTTAATTCATGATAAAGTGTTAATGACTGATAAAGGCTCAATATGTTGCCCCTCCCTAGACTATTTCAACAGGAGATGTGACCTTGATCCAAAAGGAGTGGTGCTTATTACAGCCTTTCAAGGGTGGTGAGGTAAAGGGGTTTTCCCAGCACACAGGTGACTGCTTGTGCCTCCAGTTTATGGCAGGTGTGGGCACTTCCCTAAGGCACACAGAGCAGTGAGCTCCCTGATTGATTGTGGTGCTTACAATGCCAGTGAGAGAGTGCCAGGTGGGACATCTAAACTTGAAGTTGGTTGGTATTTATTGCACAGGAACTCCACTGATAGTCTCACTTGGTTCAGGAGTCAGGGGACGACCCAGCAGCTCACAATTATGCTATTTTCTCACACTGACCCAGAGGCTAGGGAGGTAGCACTATTATTATCATCCCCATTGTATAGATGAGGAAACTGAGGCTCCCAGAGGTTAAATCATTTGCCCATGGCCATACAATTTGTCAGAGAATTCAAACTCAGGGAGCAACTAGGTGGTGCAGTAGATAGAGCACGGCCCTGGATTCAGGAGGACATGAATTCAAATTTAGCCTCAGATACTTGACACTTACTAGCTGTGTGACCCTGGCCGAGTCACTTAACCCCATTGCCTAGAAAAAAGAAAAAAAAAAGAATTCAAACTCTGGTCTCTTGACCCCTCAGCTGCTTGTCATTCAGTTATATTTGAGAAGAGATAGAAGCCATTCTCAGAACATCCTTCATGTCTGGGACACTTCTAATTGTAATTACATTTTCTGCTTGTCCTTCTGACTTCACTATTTCTGTCAGTAGTTCCACCATTCAGTCAGTATCTCATATTTGTGGGGGCCATCTCCAGTCATCCAGATCTGTATCTGGCCACTGGACCCAGATGGTTCCAGAGGAGAAAGTGAGGCTGGTGACTGCACAGTCCTGCCTCACTTAAATCCAATTCACTTGCAAGTCATGGTATCACCTTCCTGATGTCATGGTCCTTTTCGAGAATGAAGGACAAACAACATATTTGAGGTCCTATTCAATAAGTCCTCTCCTAGTTCATCAGTTACCAGGCACTACTGAATCCTTCTCTGTAATATGCCTTAAATCTTTTTGCTTCTCATCTCTTACCCCAGGAATACAGGCTCAGGTACCTGGGAATCCAAATTACACACACCCATGTTGCCACTGTCCTATAATGTAGAACTGAAGCAGGGATCAGATCATACATAAGCTTATAGATTTAAAGCTTGAAAGGACCTTAGAAGGCAGTTCAATTCAACTCATCATTTTATAAATGAAGAAACTGAGGTCCAAAGAGGTAAACTGTCTGGTAACAGGTAACTTCCCTGATGTCACAGAGTTAGCTAGTAAGTGCCAGGGGCACAATCTGAAGACAGATTCTCTGATTCCAAACTCTTCCCACTGTACTATACTGATAGCATCCAGTATGTACTGACCCCAGCATTCACTGTGTATATTTTTAAGGGAGAAAAAGTCCCTGAAAGTCATTCTCTTATGATGTATCTGTTTCTCCTCAAACTTGTATACAAATGGATTTGGGATGACCTTGCACCGCAACATTTTGGGATGCCCCTGAACCTCATCACTAAGATCCTATTAACTGAAGTACTATTCTGTCTAGTAAATATGTAAAATCAGGGGAAATGATCATACTCAGACCAGACCTGAAGGGTGGTGTTTGTGTACCTGAGGCAGGGATCTGGTGCCCCTTTTCTGTTACTGTCTGCCAGAGGCATATAGCCATCCGTCCAACACATGTACTTTAACATCATAAAATAAACGCCTCTCTGCCAATGAAAGAGGAATTGTGAAAACATGCATTTGGAAAAAGTAATATTAAAAAAAGTTCATTCATTAACACTCCATGTGTGGTACTCTAGGTAATTGCCTAATTTGTCCACTTCCAGGGCTCATTCAGATTTTAGCTTTATTTTTTTTTCCATAAGAAGTTCAGGCAATAAGAAAATAATCATCAGTTTATTCACTTGGACAATAGTTACCTTTTGCAAGAGAGGCAGGAGAGTGGATAGAAGGATGCCCTTAAAAGTCAGGAAGACCGGCGTTTAAGTCTTGCCTTTGATATACACTGGCCGTGTGACCCTGGGAATGACCCTGGGCAAGTCACTTAATATCTCAGTGCCTCAAGCAACGCTCTAAGGTTGATCTGCATCCTTGGAGGGACTTTCCACATCAGGAATCCCTTACCCTGATGAAATCAGTGGCTATACCAACCGCCTCCCCTAAACCACGCACATCAGAAAAGTGAAGCGTGGGCAAGTTACCTGACTTACTGAAAAAAGTTTAATTCATCAGTGGCAGAGACCTGGGAATTGAATTCTGAGCTTCTGATTTACCCTTCCCAGTGATGCCTCCATATCCAATTCAGTTATCAATTTCCTGCCAAGCTATTGTCACATTCTGCTGGGATCTGATTTTCTAAAGAATTCTAAAGTCTGCCCAAACTGACTGAGCCGTTAGTATCCTTTCAAGCTCTACTTAGATCTTATAAACTGAACAGGAGCTCAAATACAGTGACTTAAGGTAGGGGAAGGGGAATGAGGGAGGGACAGGACAAACACATCTTTGAACCTGGGGAAGAGATTTTAGAAGTACACCCTTAACTTGGATAATAACAGCAACCCTTTTTATAGCACTTTTATGTTTACAAATTGCTTGGAAGGCAATGCACTTATTCTTTTATTTTATGACTAGATCTCATAGAGGTTAAGGGATATGCCCAGAGTCTCACAGGATGCAAGTGGCATAACTGGGCACTGAACCCAGAAAGTGGGCCAGGAAATATGACTTGATTCTGGAACCAGTGACAACTGGAGCAGCTGGAACAGCTTGATTGGTGACTCAATGATCTACTTCTCAGGGCTGTTGGGCAGATCAAATAAAATCATATCCATAAGGGGCTTATCACAGTATCTGGCACGTAGTAGGTACTTTTTTGTTGTTGTTAGGCAGCTAGGTCAGTGCAATGGATAGAATGTTGGGTCTGGAGTCAGGAAAATCTGAGTTCAACTCCAGCCTCAGATACTAGCTGTGTGAACTTCAGGAAGTCACTTAACCCTTGCCTCAGTTTCCTCATCTGTAAAATGAGCTGGAAAAGGAAATGGCAAACCACTCCCATATCTTTGCCAAGAAAACCCCAAAAGGGGTCATGAAGAGTCAGACATGACTGAAAAATGACTGAACAACAACAATCTTCAGAGTCAGCCTCTCTGGGCCTCAATTCACTTATCTGTGAAATGAGAGTTGTATTTGATGACTTCCAAGGCTCTTCCCAGCTCTAAAACCAGGATCTTATGATATGATTATATGCAAAAGGGGCTCCACTCTCTGTTTTAATACTATTCCAGCCCAGGGTGGCCGTATTGAATAAGAAAAAAAAAAAAGAATGAATAAGCCAGATACGGATCTATGTTGGACTTGTCTGAACAAGAGCTGTAAGAGACAAGTTTGTAGTTGAACTGTTTTAAATTCTTGACCTCTCATTGCCAAACTAAAGTCAATTCAATGCAAACAATACGGACTGGTCACATTGATAGTCTGTTAATAAATATGAGGTTTTTGATGATATTAGTGAATTCGATTCCACCAGTGATTCAGCTTACAAAAGGGAAACATATCAACAGTAATGACCCAACAGACAAGTTCCTACAGTAAAGTTCTTTGCTCAGGCTCTGACTCAGCAAATTGAATATTTCCTTGGACAAAGTATTACTCAATAATACTGTGTGCCCAGAAGTCTAGAAAACTCCTATGATTTAGACCAAAGTGGTGATAAGTTAACTCCTGGGAATCAGGAAAGATCTTACTACTGCATTAGATGGCCTCATTTTGCTTTATTTTTTAAAAGGCTAGTTTAACCATATCTGAAACTGGGAAGCTAGAATTAATTCTCAAAGAGCTGACAAGTGAAATATTCCCAATAGAAGAGGCAGGGTGGAAAAGTGAGGTGGAATTAGAGTCAGAGGGCCTGGGTCCAAATCCTAATTCTGCTATTGGCAACCTGCGTGCCAGTGGACAAAACATTCCATTTCCCTATGCCTCAGATTCCTTAACTGTAAAATGAGGGGATTGTACTAGATGACCTCTAAAGTCATGACCATTTCTAGATCAATGGTTCTCTGATCCTTCCAGCTTAAAATTGACGATTCTGAGATGCTTTAAAGAGCATGCACACATGAAAACAGCGTGTGTGTGCGTGTGTGTGTGTGTGTGTGTGTGTGTGTGTGTGAGAGAGAGAGAGAGAGAGAGAGATCTTAGTTGAGTCTCAAGACAAGCTTGTGAATGAAAAAACTTGACACAGAGATGTCATGTAACTTGGTCAAAGTCAGGTAGCTAGCTGGTGATAGAACAAAGACCAGAATCCCAAATCTCCTGCATCCTAGTTGTGCTTTCTCTATTACACTATACCACATCCTAATGGGATGTCAGATAATTTATGAGAAACAGAGCACCCTCTAGGTAACAGAATGAATGAACTAGATACCTCATAGCCACGTTGCTGCCGTCGATCACAATGGGTCTCAGATGATTGCCAGGGTCCTCCAACTCGTCTTCAGGATCTGCACCCAGAAGCCGTCGGGACAAGTCCACAGTGCCACCAGAGCCCCGTGCGACAAGTTTTGGAGCAGAGCTCTCCCCATAGCTTTCTTCAACGTGAGGTCGGTTGCCCATCTGAATCAACTCCTGTAGGATGTCATTCACCAGTGCCCCCTGGCCCAGTTTTGCCAACACTCTGACAACACCCTCCCGGCTGTAGCCCAGTTTTCGGAAGAACTCCAGCTTATCTGTGTGGGGCTCCATCGAAACCACTCCAGCCTGGCTGGGGGAACAGGCTAGGCTCTGTCTCTCTCTGGAGTCAGTCCCTTCTGGTTCCCGTCCTTAGTTTTGATCCTCGCCACCAATATGCAGATATGTAAACTGAAGGAGAGGAAAAAAATCATCAGTCTTTTTTTTTTTTTTTTTGCCAACCTGGCAGTGAAACTGTCAGTTTACTGAGGACAAATTATTTATACACTTGCTCTCCAGCTTTATCTTTCAGGAAATCATGGTCCCTTTGGGGATTTTCAGTTGCTCAGTGTGGTTAGTGAGCCACAGATACCATCACCCTGCTTTTACTTGGTGCAATCTCAAAATGTCAGCTCTGTACCGATGGGCAAGCTTCATCAAGCACAGAGGAAAGAGGTAGGGAAACGAGGAGAGAATTGGTTCTGGAGCATTGCTGCAGATCACAAACCCATCACAAAAGTCCTTCTTTTGGAAAAAAAAAATCTTTTTTTTTTAAATCTTGGAGTTTTGGAAAGAAAAATCATTCCAAAAATTTTTTTGGAAAAAAAAAAATCTTTGCACAATTTTTTTGGAAAAATCTACACTCCTCTCCCCCTCAAACACACACACACACACACACACACACAGCCAGGTGAAATGTTCTTCCAGAACAACTTGCCCTACCTATCTCCTACCATCCCAGCTCCATCATTCAATGGCCACTTAGCACGACCTCTGTCAAGCAATTCAATTCTGCTTGGCTTGAAGCTTTAAAATTCTTTGCAAAACAAGCAAGACCAGCCCCTGAGAGATCTTGGGGTTAGTTCTTTCTTAAGATCACATGAATAACAGATTTTGAGCAGGAGGGGACTTTAGCAAACATCCGGTCCATCTCCCTTTGTCTTCCAGATGAGCCAACTAAGACCCTGCAATGGTGTCCTAGGCAGTCTCTGTCCAGGCTCCACCACCACCACCCCTTTCCAATCCATCCTCCAAACAGGTATAAGAGTGATATTTCTAAAGATCTGACCATGATGCTCCCTGCTCAAGACACTTCAGTGATCCTCTAATGCCTTGATGATGAAGTACGTCATCCTCTGTTTAGCATTTAAAAACCCTTCACCATCTGACTCTAATGCTCTACACACAGTATATTCCTATTTGTCACTCCATGAATATGACGGTCCATCTCTTCTCTCTTTATCTTTGCAGAGACTCTCCCATGCCCAGAACACTGTCCTCCACTTTTACATCTTAGAATTCCTGATGCCCTTCAAGGCTCAGCTCAAATACCACTTTCTACAAGAAGACTCTCCTTATCTCCTGGTTGTTAAGCTTCGCTCCCAGCCCTGAAAGCATTTATTTTGTATTTAATTATCTGTGTGTGTGTGTGTGTGTGTGTGTGTGTGTGTGTGTATTTGCTATTTCTTCCCAGCAGAATGTAAGCTCCTTGAGGTCAGACATTTTTTTTAATTCTTTGCATCCCCACCACTTTACACAATGCCTAACACACAACAGGCTGGGAGATAGTCAATTAACATGTATTGAAGTGTCTGAATGCTTAAGGAAATCAAGTAACTTTCATAAGATCACATAGGTAACAGGTAGCTGGGTTGGGTTTCAGACCCATGTCCATTGATTCTACATCTAGAATTCTTACTACCACACCACACTGCCTCTCCCTAGACATCTGAGTAGTTCAGGATAGAAGCCACGAAGATTGCTGTGGACATTGCCTAGCCCAATATAAAATGGTAGAAGCCCCAGTGTGATGTGGTGCTGTTGCTGTTCAGTCATTTTCAGTCGTGTCTGACTCTTCCTGACCCCATTTGGGCTTTTCTTGGCAAAGATGCTGGAATGGTTTGCCATTTCCTTCTCCAGCTCATTTGACAGAAGAGGAAACTGAGGCAAACAGGGTTAGGTGATTTTCCCAGGATCACATAGCTAGTAAGTGTTTGAGACCAGATTTGAATTCACAAAGATGAGTCTTCCTGATTCCCAGCACAGCACTCAATGCCCTAAATACGAGAACAGCTTTTTCAAAGACTACAAAGGTGAATGACAGCAAACAACCCTCCAGCAGCTTCTTTCCACCATTCCTTTAGCATCACAGGTTCTGCGGGTTCATCACCGCCTAGGTCTAGACCTGCAAGGAACCTCAAAGGTCATAGAGACCAAGCTCCTCATTTGACAAATGAGGAAGACCCCAAAAGGTTGAATGACTTGCCCAAGGTCACACAAGTATGGGATTATCAATGGAAAGACTTCCTCTGGCCTTCAGAACCATGTCCCTGTGCTAGCTACCTTAGCCCCTCCCCCCTTTCAGCTTCCTCTTTGTGTGTGATCTGCTCCCATTGAAGGGCAGGGACTTAACTTTCTTTTTCCTGTATTTGTAGCCTCAGCACTTAGCACTGTGCCTGGCCAGGAGTAAGCACTCAGAAAAGGCTTGTTTCCTTTCTTTCTTCGTTCCTGAAGTTGGGAGGAACCTTGTGGGCCCCAGAGTCCAACACCCTCATTTTTCAATCAAGGAAATTGAGGCCCAGAAAGGGTCAAAGTCATACACAAAGTCACACAAGTAGTAAGTGCAGAGCTGGGACACTAACTCAGGTCCCAAGACTCCAAATTCAATGCTCTTTCCACTGTCTCATATGTTACAGATGAGATCTGAACCCAGCTCATCTTATTCTAGAGCCAATTTCCTTTCCACTATACTAAACTGGGGGCAACAAGATGGTGCAGTGGATAGAGTGTGAGGCCTAGAGTCAGGAAGACTCATCTTCGTGACTCCAAATCCAGCTTCAGACACTTACTAGTTGTGTGACTTTGGGCCAGTCACTTCACCCTGTTTGCCTCAGTCTCCTCATCCATCAAATGGGCTTCAGAAGAAGATGGCAAACGACTCCAGTATCTTTGCAAAGAAAACCCCAAATGGGGTCACAAAGAGTCAGACACAGCTGAACAACAAATACTACACTGCATCTCTCCCCATTTAGATTCTTCCCATCATCCATTTCTTCCTCTTTCACCATTTATTATTTACTTTTACTATTTACTATTCTTTCAGTGGGGCCTATCCCTAAAATGCTATAGCTAAGATAAAAATAACAGTTATAAAGTTGGATAGGTAAAGATCAGTAAAGGAGATTAGTTTTCCCTCAAGGAGATCTAAGAATTTTGCAAACATTCCGACAAACCTATTTCTTAGTTGCAGGTTAGGAATCTTGAGAGAAATAGAGTATCTCTGCATACATTGGAATAGAAATGGTGAAAATCTCTCAGATCCATTCATTTCCACAAGGTGATTATGTATTGAAAGGGAGGAAGGCATCATCTTGCCAATACAAATGGGGCAGCCAAAATACACACACAAGAAGAGTTCTCCAAAATCACACATTTGTCAGTGACAAACCCAAGTAAAGAACCAATATTTCTTTCTTTTTTTTTTTTTTTTAGAAGCAATAGGGGTTAAGCGACTTGCCCAGGGTCACACAGCTAGTAAGTGTCTAAGGCTGGGTTTGAGTTCAGGTCCTCCTGACTCCAAGGCTAGTGCTCTATCCACTACACCGCCTCACTGCTCCTTCCAATATTTATTTCATGGAGGATAAAACTCTTAGACCCAAGAGTCACCACCCTCAAGTACTGCTTAGTTGTCCTCCTTAACCTAAAGTGGACTCCATCAAGAAAAAGTGAACCCTTCCATAAGGAAATAAACTGAAGGTTTTCTTTTTAAGGGTTTCTTATATTTTCTTGTCACTAAACAGTACAAGTGGTGATGCTGTACTGTCCATTCAAAACACTAGAAAATATTTCTTTGCCTAAGAGACATTCAAAGACATATATACAGACACACACACACACATATATATATATATGTGTGTGTGTATACGTATATGTAGGCATGCATTTATATGTATACACACAGACACAAATCTGGACCTATATATACATAAATATATACACATATGTATTTTTGCTATTCAGTCATTTCAGTCACTTCCACCTCTCCGTGATCCCATTTGGGATTTTCTTGGCAAAGATCCTGGAACGGTTTGCCATTTCCTTCTCCAGCTCATTTTACAGATGAGGAAACTGAGGCAAACAAGGTTAAGTGACTAGCCCAGGGTCACACAGCTGTTAAGTGTCTAAGGCCAGATTTGAACTCAGGAAGATGAGTCTTCTTGTCTTCAGACCTGGCACTCTATCCACTGAGTCACCTAGCTGCCCTAAAAAATATGTTGTAAGCTCCCTGAGGGCAGGGGATGTCTTGTTTTTTTTAATCCTTGTATCCTCTGAATGCAGGGCTTCGCATATAGAAGGTGCTTGATCGATGTTTTTCCTTATTTCTGTCAAGGACATCACCACCCTTCCAGTGACTCAGGTTCTACTTAGGAGTCATTGGCTCATGACCTTCCCTCATCTTACCCATCCTATCAGCTGCCAAATGTCATGAACACTTCCCTCCTCCATCCCTTCCTTTCTTCTCATACGCCTATGACGCTGGCTTAGACCTCTCCCGTCACCTCTCTCCTCTGCTGCTCTACTGCCTTCTAATTGGTTTTCTGCCTCAGGTCTCTCTCTTCTCCAGGCCCTCATCCGTACAACTGCCAAACCGATGTTTGGAAAGCACAGGTCTTGTTAATCTAGTTAAGCTGCTCCAGCGGCCCTCTCTGAGTTCTGTTGTCGCTGTTCAGTTGTGTCTGACTCTTTGTGACCCCATTTGAGGTTTTCTTGGCAAAAATATCGGAGTGGTTTGCCATGTCCTTCTCATTTTACAGATGGAGAAACTGAAGCAAACAGACTTAAGTGACTTGTCCAGGGTCACACAGCTAGTAAGTGTTTGGGGCTGGATTCGAACTCTGGTCTTTCTGACTCTAGGCCTGGAGCTCTATTCACTGAGCCACCTAGCTGCCACCCCATATGTATGTATTTACATATATGTATGTGTATGTACATATAGGTAGAGGTCCAGATCTGTAGTTTCATCCACATAGGAGAAAATTATCCTATTAGGACAGCTCAACAACTCATATGTAACTTATAGTCTTAGAGAGTTACTGGGGACTTTGAGAAGTTAAGTGAGTTGCCCAGGGTCATACAGTTAGTATACATCAGAGGCAGAGCTAACTTACACCTAGTTCTTCCAGACTCTAAGGCCAGCCCTCTCTCTATCAATTAAAGAAGAGAGCTGTTTTAAAAGCTAAAAAAGGGGCAGCTAGGTAGCACAGTGGCCCTGGATTCAGGAGGACTTGAGTTCAAATCCAGCCTCAGACACCTAACACTCACTAGCTGTGTGACTCTGAGCAAGTCACTTAACCCCAATTGCCTCACCAAAAAAAAATGAAGTTAAAGGGAACCAAAACATTTCTAATAAAAGTAAAACGTAAGCTCCATGAAAGCAGGAATTGTCTCACTTAGTATTTATATCCAGAACCTAGCACAGTGACTGGCATGTAGCAGATGTTTAATAAATGCTTTTCGATGGACTGAAATCTGCCCCTTCAGAAACTCTTTAAAACATTTTTGAGTTTTAGGATTCCTGAGTGAAGGAAGACATTTCTGAAGACTCTGAAAAAAGGTTGTTCACAAGAACCCCAAAATATCTACCTTCAACCTCACTCCCAACCAGCTGTCAGGTTCCATGACACACTTGGTTTAATATCTTCCTTAAAAGATAAAGATTGGGCCTTGGGGTCTATTTTACCATGAGCAGTTTTTCCCCTCCCCTACCTCTTCTTTCTTCCCATTTTGCAATCTTGAAAGAGTTAAAGTTTCACGGGAGTTCTCTTCCTCTGCCCTGACTGGAAATGACAAACAGCACTGCTGATTAATAATGCTTTGCAAATACAGTCTTGTTTCCAGAGCTTTGCAATACTTATGAAATCTGTAGCATCACGGTTACCTTTCTGTAGACCAGGAACCAAGGGGCCAATGGGAAGAGAACTAAGCTAACTCCAAAGTCATTCAAGGAAATGCAGGGATGGGGAGGATTTTCCACAAGGGGGAAATAAGTGGAATTCTCTTGAAAAAGTTCCCTTCTACTGCCAGTTGATATTAACTGAGTGCCTCCAATACAGGAGGTCATGCTCAGAAATATCTTTGGCCTTTGGTGTCACTGGCAGACCAGAGACCTAGTCAGGGAAGAAGAAAGGAGGGGAGAAAAAGTAGGAGACAAAAAAGGTTGACAGGCAGAAAGGAGAAAGGAAAAATAACTATAAAGAGATAAAGAGGGGTGGTGGTGGAGTGGTGTCTGACAATAGTAAGAGATTGGTCACCTCTCTGGCTTAGTGCATTGAGGGCACTCAGGAACAAAAATGGTGCCAGTACTTCTGACAGAAGAAAAATATACTAATACTATTCCAGTACCACCTGTGGAAAATCCTCAGGGGCAGCTAGGTGGCGCAGTGGATAGAGCACTGGCCCTGGAGTCAGGAGCACCTGAGTTCAAATCTGTCCTCAGACCAAACACTTGACATTTACTAGCTGTGTGACCCTGGGCAAGTCACTTAACCCCAACTGCCTAAAAAAAAAAAAAAATCCTCCCCAATCCCTAGGAGGTGCAGAGTTGCATCAATAATACCTCAGACACTTCTCAGTGGCCCAGGTTACTACCATCCAGCACTAGGTACCATAAAAAGACCAAAGCTTCCCTCCAAAAAATGCAGTCCTCACCATCCAGAGGCAGATCTTCTGTGGCAACAGGCTAAGTCATAATCCCATCTCAATTCAATTCAATAAGCATTTATCAGGCAGTTGCTGTGTAGGACGCATTGTGCCTTGCTAAGCTTCTTGGACCATGAGCTGAATTCCAGTCAGCATATCCTGTTAGGTCCATTCCCCAGTCTCCTTAAGAACTTTGATGAAATCCTTTCCATTATCAATTTTAAGCCCCTCAAAGTGTTCACACCATGAGGAAGTAAAAGGCTTATTTGACCTCTTGTTTCAAAACAGAGCTCTCACCCCCCCCCCAAAAAAAATTTGCCTTTGCTCAAAACCAACACTCTAACACATGGTAGTATTCACTATCATTTACACTGTGATTTGAAGAAAATCACACAAGTCAAAGGTTTCAAAGAATAGCCCCTGAGGACACATTCCTGATTTGGTTTGGTTTGGTTTTTCAGACTATCCCAGACAGTTATGTCTATCGCCTTATTTTACTCATGGCAAAAGTTGTAGTCACCAGGAAACTGATTTGCATCCATGTTCAAAGGGAGAGGGAGTGGAATTTTTAAAAAGTATACTCGAATCCACTCTTGCAGTCTCCCCTCCTGAGTCACAGGGAACGACTAAAGTCATTCTCTGGCTAATCACATGTCCCCAGTCCCCAGCTGGCTAAGGTTCTCACTGACTACTGTGAAATAGGCACACGTTATCCTCACAGTGAGTTCCCACTGACTGAGTTCATTCCCGAATATTGTCTTTTCCCACTCTCCTGGAATGAGGTTCAGGAAGCTCATTCCCTTTGTGAATTGATTATACCTATAGAGACCTTGTCTAAAGAAATAACTGAGGAAGATACTGGACATTCCTAATTTGCACTCAGCCATCGAAGGCTATTCATAAATCAATAACTAAAAGTAAGATGTTTTCAAGAGAAAGTGGTTTATATTCAGAAATATCCTGGGAATTGTACTGTTCCTTATTGTACACAAGGAAAATAGCTTTTGAGATCAGTCACATGCATTCATTCTTGCAGATATTTACTGATTATCAACCTAAAATCTTTGATTAACTTTTCCCCAGAAACTGCTACTTCAAATTAAGTATGATTTTGCTAAAATGTGAAGAATTTGGCCCAAAGAAAATTAAAAGATTTTGATTTTCTATTTGAGGGTATAATGCAAAGATTGAAACCATGAGAACTCTGATTGTTCAGAATAATTATGAGGGAAAAAAAAAAGAAAAGAAAAAAATTACATCTCTCTGTTCCCTGCAGTCTATTGCCTTTCCCTGGGGGCCAGTTTCCCAGAAAGGAGATTGATGCTTACCAGGCAGTGGCACCTGTCTCCTGCCTTGGCTTGTCCAATGCGATCTTTGCCAGGGAACACCTGAGTCATCTAACTATGGTGCCAGTCTTCAGCTTGAGCACGGGAAAGCCTCTGGAGGAAGTCAGGGCTGAAATCACAGGCTTAGCTGGAGTCAAGTGAGAGGGGAAAAAGGCAAACAGACACAACATGACAACTAAGCTCATAGGGCAATTGTCAGCTATTCCATACCAACACCTCACTTCCGTAACTGCTGGGCTTTTGAGTGAGGTGGTTCTGCTTTGAGTTGAAAAAGAAAGAAAACACACGCGCGCACACTCACACAAAAGGGAAAGGCAGGCTTGTTTAAAGCCTCCCCATGAGTCAGAGACTCAAAGTTCAATAACCGCATGCAAAAATGACTGGCAAGAAAGTTGGTAGACCGTGAGATATTTTACAAAACAAACTTAGGGACCAGTAAAGGGTGAGTCGGATGAAAAGTCATTTTAAAATTCAGAGAATTTGGATCTTTATTATCATTGTAGCTTGTGCTAATGGAGCCTTCTAATGTTTATTTTACAGACATCATTTCATTGGAGCCCCACAACCTGCTGGGGTAGGTACTATTATTATAAAATGGTGTCCCATTTTACAGATAAGAAAATTGAGGCCCACAAAGACTAAGTGATTTGACTAGGCTCACACACCTAGCAAATATCTAAGGTAGGATTTGAATCTGGGTCTTCCAGACTCCAAGTTCAGCACTCTGACCACCATAGCACTGTATCTCTCTGGTAAGCAGAAAACCTCATTCGAGCATAGGGTCACAGACTTGAGCTGGCAGAGTCCCTACAAGTCATCTATGATGAAAAAGAGGCTCACGGAGTTTATATGACTTGCCCAGTGACACAAAATTAACATGTATCAGAGTGAGGATTTAAACTCAGGTCTTCCTGACTTGAAAGTCAAACTTCTAACTGCAGCTTCATTCTTAGAGCTCACACAGAGTCTTTTGTTATTAAAGGATGGTGGAAAATACTTCATGGTGGGGGAAGAAGAAGAAACACTGAAGTATATGGCAGGTAAACAGACAAGGGTGTGTGCAAAAGCAAAGGACAAAATGAAGGAAAAAGCTTCAGAGAATGTGTTGGTCCATTAGTGAGAAAGACGAGGGGGAAAAAAGCCTTCTCTCTGGCATAGACTTTAGTTATACTGCCAGGCAAATACAATGCAAAATGGCATTTAGTGAACCTCTGTCTCTGTCTGTCTCTGTCTCTCTCCATCTCTGCCTCTGTGTCTGCCTCTGTTTCTGTCTCTGTCTGTCTCTGTCTGTCTGTCTCTGTCTGTCTCTCCCCCCCCGTCTCTGTCTCTCTCTGTCTCTCTGTCTGTCTGTCTGTCTCTCTCAATGTAAAATCTCAAAGCAGGGATTCTTAATTATTTTTTGCATCATGGACCCCTTGGCGGTCTAGTGAAGTGTATGACCTCTTCTCAGATGAATGTCTTAATTGCATAAAGTAAAAATATACAAGATTAGAAAGAAAATCAATTTCGTTGAAATAAAGACATCTTTTTTTCCTATCCAAGTTCATAATTGAGCACAGAGAAATGCCTAGGAAAGCCCTCAAGGAAAAGAATATTAAATTTAATTGAAAGCTTTCAGTATCTTGGCATTATCTACCTGAAAGAAGTTGATGCTTGAGACTAAATTATAAACAGATACAAACCTATATGCCTTCTAAACAAAATATTAGTGCTATAAGTGATCTTAGAGATCATCTAGTAAAACCTTGTCATTTTAGAGACAAGGAAACTGAGGTCTGGAGAAAGAAAGAATATTGGATTTGAAGACAAATGGCCTAAGCTTGGGGCAGCTAGATGGTACAATTTATAGAATGCCAGGTCTAGAGTCAAGACCTGAGTTCAGACCTATATGACTTTGGACAAGTCACTTTATCTTTACAGAAGGTAAAGTATGTATATGTAAATAGACACACACACACACACACATATGCACATATACATATATGCCGGTATACAATATGTTATCTTGATATGTAATGTGTGAATATAATGTGTATAATATAAATGTGTGCATGTATGTGTATATATATATGTGTGTGTGTGTATAATATAAATGCTTTTTAGCATTTTGGACTAAAAGAAAAAAACAACACTCTGGTGGAAGCAGAGGTTATAATGATTGGCCAAAATAAACTTCTTGGTTTGTCTTTATCCATGATATCCCTCCTTCCTACCTCCCTCCTCCCTCTTCACAACAAAGATGTGGCAAGGATTACAAGTCTCTTTCTCTCCTCTAATTTGAAAAATCCTGTCTAAGCACCCTGGCAAAGGGCAGAAAATGGAGGGATAACTGGGGAAAAGATAGAACGTTTTCCCTGAATCCTTGGACCCAGTGAGGACAAATGAATCAGTAATTATAAAGTGTTGTTCAGTCATTTCAGTTGTGTCTGACTCTTCATGACCCCGTTTGGGCTTTTCTTGGCAAAGATACTCGAGCAGTCTGCCATTTTCTTCTCTAACTCATTTTACGGATGAGGAAATTGAAGCAAACAAGGGTAAGTGACTTGCCCAGTGTCACAATAGCTAAGGTCTGAGGCCAGATTTGAACATAGGAAGGTGAGTCTTCCTGACTCCAGGCCTAGCACTCTTTCCACTATGGTATCTAGCTACCCTTACCAAGTGCTTACCATATGCAAAACAGTATCCTAATTATCAGGACAAGAAATAGAAAAGCCAAGACAGCCCCAGGGCTCAAAGAGCTCAAATTTGAAAGGCAGGCACAGCACACAGAGAAGATTTCATGTCAGATGGAAAAGTCCATTGTCCTGGGGGTATAGCAGCAAATCAGATGGCAATAGTTATCTCTTCCACATCGCGACTTTCCCCATTGAGATTTCAATGTATTGCGGGTCAGCATAAGAAATTACAAGGGAATTTTGGGGGAGTTTTGTGGAATGACACATGAAGGCCAGTAGATGACACAAAGCCCTATGACCAAATATTTATACCCCATAAAAGAAAAAGAAAAAATTCAGATTTCTTCTCTGGTACAAAGGGAGGACCAAAAACTTTTTTTTTTAAGGCAATTGGGGTTAAGTGACTTGCCCAGGGTCACACAGCTAGTAAGTGTCAAGTGTTTGGTCTGAGGCTGGATTTGAACTCAGGTCCTCCTGACTTCAGGGCCAGTGCTCTATCCACTGCGCCACCTACCTGCCCTGGGCCAAAAACTTTTATGCAGATTTTCCAGATCACGGGGCTGCCATGCTCCTAACCTCTGCGATGTAGAAGGGATAACTGCATTTCTTTTTAAAGTGTCATTTCTACTAATGCAACCCCATCAATTTCTGATGTCAAATAATTGGGCAGTGCCAAGAACTTTGGTTTCAGACTTTGCTTTCTGAGTCATCAGTAGTTGTGGAGAAGGTGATGGCTTAAGCACTAAAGGAACCAGTTGCTAGGCAGCATCTCTATAGGGGCTGATTTCCAGGACGGTGACTGCAGGCACTGGGTTGGAAGCAGGACCAGTGGTCTGGGGAGCGCTGCCATTGCCAGGGCTCTTGGGTTTCCATGCCCGTTAGCAGTCAGTGGTCAGTGGTGGTAAAGAAGACAGTTTCCTCTTATCCATTGTTTCTCTCAGCAATGGCTGCAGGGCCCAGGCTGGAAACCTGTGTTCTGGGAGGCACTACTATCCCCAGGTCTCTTTGGTTGTGAGACCTGGGCTGACTGCATCAGGATCTGAGGGGAGAGGCCAGGTCAAGATGGTGGCAGTTGGGGGGTAGCTAGGTGGCGTAGTGGATAGAGCACTGACCCTGGATTCAGGAGGACCTGAGTTCAAATCCAGCCTCAGACACATAACACTTACTAGCCATGTGACCCTGGGCAAGCCACTTAACTCCCACTCACCCCCCCAAAAAAAGTCTTAAAAAAAATTATCAAATTGAATTTTGGGGCAGCTAGGTGGCACAGTGGATAGAGCACCAACCCTAGAATCAGGAGGACCTGAGTTCAAGTCCAGTCTCAGACACATAATACATCCTAGCTGTGTGACTCTGGGCAAGTCACTTAACCCCAATTGCCTCACTAAAAAAAAAAAAAAAACCAAGATGGTGGCAGTTGTTTGATTACCTAAATATACACCAATCTCTCTCTCTGGGTGCCTCAATGCTTCAAGATGGCAATGAAACAACCACCTACTCCAGTTACTCTGTGGAGATTTATTGGAACAAATACTGAGGGAAGCCGCAAGAATCAAGAGCCACAGAGTTTTAGCACATGTGGTCAGTAATGAGACAACCATTAGAGGGGCAGTGGAGCTCTAGAGAAAACTCATTAATTAATTCATCCAACAAATGTAACACTGACTACAGTAGCCCTTAAACACAAACATTTAACAAGAGTTTCCTATGCACAAGATAGTGTGCTAGGCACTCTCAGGAGAGAATGATTAAAAACAGAAACAGGCCTTGCCCTCAAGCAGTACACAAATACTGGGAGGAACAACATATATATACATATAATTACAAGATATTTTAAGGCTAGAGAGAATGCTAACAGCTGGGGGTGTGGTGAGGGGTGGGTGAAAATCAAGAAAGACTTTACATAGGAAGTAGCAATTGAGTTGAGCCTTGGAAATGGTGAGGAGAACAGAAACTGGAGACAGCTGCTGAAATGAAAGTGGCCAAAAATAAATAACAACCTGCTGTGGAGGAAGAGACAAACATTGACCCCCTCCTCCCTCCCCAGCTAGAGGCAGACAATAAGTCATAGGGATGGGGGGGGAGGTTGCTCACTGGGGGTACCATTATTTGCAGAGTCATGCAAATTCTCTGTTTACACTGTTGTAAATAAAACCATTCATGTTTTGTATCTTGTAAACCTATGTGGTTGTAAGGGGAGCTGGTGACCAGGTTATGTCTAGGCAGAGTCAAGCTACTGAAGTTTCCAGTTTAGACAATCTGATGAGGGACAATGAACCAGAGAAGGGAGAAGTCCCCACAAAAGAACCTTTAAACAGATTTTATTAATGATCAAGCTATGTCTGTGGATGAAATACTAGGCATTGGGGCTAAAGAGAATGGGGTAATAAAAAAAGATGTATAAGACAAGACTCTTGCCTTCAAAGAAGTTACATTCCAGTAGAGAGTTGAGCGCAATAGCACAGCTACCAGTGTGCCTAGCAGAACTTAAAGAGAGGATAGAGAGATGATGATTAGTCCCTCTTACAAAACTACAAAACAATTCACTGCAGGCTTCCATTAAATAAGAGCTTCTCACATGAATTTAAACACTCG